CTTCCTGAGAAATCAAGGCCGTTGGTTAGTTACCTTAGATACCTCTACATGAATGCACAGAGCCTGGGAAAGAAGCAGGAAGAATTGGAAGTCCTCACACAGTCAAGGAACTATGACGTGATGGAATAACAGGGACTTGGTGGGATAGCTCATATGACTGGAGCACCGTCATGGGTGGGTATAAATTGTTCAGGAAAGACAGGCAGGGGAGAGGAGGAGGAGGAGTTCCACTTCATGTAAAAAAGCCATATGATTGCTCAGAGCTCCAGTATGAAACTGGAGATAGGTCTGTTGAAAGTGTCTGGGTCAGGGTCAGAAGAGAGAGCAACAAGGGTGATGTCATGGTGGGGGTTTGCTATTAGGCCTGTGCGAGTAGGCAGCTATTTGATCCAGCTGCTTCGGATGCCAGCAACCCGATCCAGAGCTCTGGACTAGGTTCCCGCTTCGATCTGGCTGAAGCGGCTCCGAAGCTTCGGAGCCGCTTTGGAGATCCAACCATAGGTATATTGGGGAATCAATGAAATATTTATAACCTTGTTGTTTTTTGTATTATTTGGATGAAACTTGCAGGAGTGGTAGCCTCTGCTGAGAGCATAAAGCCTGCCAAGTTTCAAGATGATCGGTGCAGGGGTTCAGGGGAAACCACACCCCAAATTCTTGAAAACAAAACTCAAGTCACGTGTATGTGTTACACCACTAGGGGGTGAAATCTGCAGGGGTGGTGGCCCGTGCTGAGGCCACAAAGCCTGCCAAGTTTCAAGAAGATTGGTGCAGGGGTTTGGGGGGAACTGCGCCTCAAGCTGCTGACAGGCAAAACTCGTGACATAGATGACCCTGAGTGTATTAAGGCACAGTGGGCTGAAGACTGCAGGGGTGGTGGCCCGTGCTGAGGCCACAAAGCCTGCCAAGTTTCAAGGAGATAGGTGCAGGGATTTGGGGTAAACTGCACCTCAAGCTGCGGACAAGCAAAACTTGTGACATGGGTGACAGTGTGTGTGTTAAGGCGCAGCAGGGTGAAAGCTGCAGGCGTGCTAGCCCCTGCTGAGGCCATGAATCCTGCCAGCTGTCAAGGAGATAGGTGCAGGGGTTTTGGGTTCTGGGGCTCCCCATCCATGGAAACATGATGGGCCTGTGGTAGCCTGGGCACCCCCATCTATGGGAATGTGATAGGGCCGTGGGGCCCTGCACTGCTAGCTGCTGACAGGCAAAACTCATGACATGGGTGCTTGTGCAACTGACTGTTCCTGTCTTGGGGCAGTTGATTGTCTGTATTGATTATTTCCTCTCCTTCGTTTATGGTTTTATAGATGTTAATCCTTGCTAATTAACTTGTTAACACCTAATTAACACCTTTAAAACCACAGAAGAGGAGGATCAGGGAAAGTGTGGGTCCCTTACCGAATGGGGGAGGCAATCTTGTGACAGAGGATGAAGAAAAAGGAAGTGCTCAATGCCTTTTTCACCTCAGTCTTCACAGGCAAGGTTAGCTCCCCGACTACTGCACCTGGCAGCACAGTTTGGGGAGGAGGTGAGCAGTCAGCTGTGGCAAAGGAACAGGTTAGGAACTATTTAGAAAAGCTTGGCATATACAAGTCTATAAGGCTGGACAGGATGCACCTGAGGGTGGTGAGGGAGTTAGCTAATGTGATTGCAGAGCCAGTGGCCATTATCTTTGAAAACTTATAGTGACTGGGGGAGGTCCGAGACAACTGGAAAAGGGCAAATATAGTGCCCATATTTAAGAAAGAAAAGAAGGAGAATCCTGGAAACTACAGACCAGTCAGCATCACCTCAGTCCCTGGAAAAATCACGGAGTAGGTCCTCGAAGAATCCATTTCTATGCACTTGGAGAAAAAGGTGATTAAGAACAGTCCGCATGGATTCATCAAGGGCAGCTCATGCCTGACCAACCTGATAGCCTTCTATGATAAGACGACTGGCTCTGGGGATTCAGGGTGACCAGTGGATGTGGTATACCTTGACTTTAGCAAAGCTTTTGATATGGTCTCCCACAACATTCTTGCAGGCAAACTATGGAAGCACAGGTTGGATGAATGGATTGTAAGGTGGATAGAAAACTGGTTGGATCATTGGATTCAGAGGGTAGTAGTAAATGGCTTGATGTCTAGTTAGCAGCCGGTATTAGGTGGAGTGCCCCAAGTGTCAGTCCTGGGGCTGGTTTTGTTCAATATCTTCATCAATGAAGGAAGACGCCTGGAAGTGCACCCTTAGCAAGTTTGCAGATGACACCGAGCTATGGGGAGTAGTAAATACATTGTCAGGTAGCGTTAGGATTCAGAGAGATGTATACAAATTGGAGGATTGGACCAAAAGGAATCTCATGAGTTTCAGTAAGGACAAATGCAAAGTCTAGCATTTAGCACAGAACAATCTCATGCACCAGTACAGGCTGGGGGCTGACTGGCTTGGCAGCAGCTCTGCAGAAACGGACCTGGGACTTAGAGTGAACTAAAAGCTGACTATGAGCCAACAGTGCACTCTTGTTGCAAAGAAGGCTAACAGCATACTGGGCTACATTGGTAAGAGTGTTGCCAGCAGATTAAGGGAAGTGATTATTGTCCTCTATTCAGAACTGGTAAGGCCACATCTGGAGTATTGTGTCCAGTTTTGGGGCCCCCACTACAGAAAGGATGTAGACAAATTGGAGAGAGTCCAGCAGAGGGCAACAAAATGGAGAGAGGGCTGGGGAACATGACTTGGGAGGAGAGGTTGAGAGACCTTGGTTTATTTAGAGAACAGAAGACTGAGAGGGGATTTAATAGCAGTCTTCAACTACCTGAAGTGAGGGTTCCAAAAAGGATGGAGCTAGACCGTTCTCAGCGGTGTCAGATGACAAAACAAGGAGCAATGGTTTCAAGTTGCAGCAAGGGAAGTTTAGGTTAGATATTAGGAAATACTTTCTCACTAGGATGGTAGTAAATCATCAGAACAGGTTCCCCAAACAGGTTGTAGAATCTCTATCCTTGGAAGTTTTTAAGACAAAGCATTGGCTGGGATGATCTAGTTGAGAGTGGTCCTGCTTTGAGCAGGGGGTTTAAGTAGATGACTTTCTGAGGTCCCTTCCAACCCTAATTTTCTATGATTCTATGAATCTATGCCCCAGTTGTGTACTGTTCAACTCAATGTAACTAAATTTTAATTGTTCACCTACAAGGCCACATATTTACTCCTCCTTATATTTCATTTCAAGAAACTGACATGTTTCTTAAATAAAAGGGGATAATATGCCTATGTGTTATACATGAAATGTGTTAACAGTCATTAATTTTAACAATGAGTGTATTTACAGACACTAAAGAAACAGTAAAAAAAATGAAGATTCATTAAGGTCTTGTTTTTACAAGGGGCTAAGAGCTCAGTTATTAGCCACCCTTCCTCTATAGAATTTTAAAGTTACCTTTATTCTGTTTTCATTTTAGGAATCATAGTAAAAATCCCATGCATTCCCTTCTTGTTCAAAATATTCCTGTTGTAAAAATGCTTATATGAATGTACTGTGGTTTCCAACTTCATTAAAGTCCATTATCATCATATGCATTGCAAAAATATCACTTTACAGAAAGCACTCAGAAATCATATTACTATAAAGCAGCAAGCAGCAATTACTAAGCATTTATATATTTTTGCTTATAAAAAAATTTAACTATATTTGCAATTTAATTGTATGGTTTAATTTTAATCCTAGGTTCTTTATTTTAATGCAAATGTAACTGTTATAACAGTTTCATACCTACAATATCTTGGAAATAAACCTCTGCCAATCCGGCCCTCCATACACCCAGAGTGATGAAGTTTATGCTTCTTAATTGTGATGGGTGCAATTCTCAGCTAATGAGGTAAGCTGATATAAGGGATAGAAATACCCGTTCTGTTTCCAGCTAGAATTGACTATAAATATACATACATATATACATATATACACACACACACACACATACACACACACACATATTAGGGCTGTGTGAAATTTCACTGGCTGGTTTTTTACACTGTTTCTCAACTTGTTTTGAGCTTGCAGCTAAAGAGAAACTAAGGAGAGGGAGGGAGAAGATGGGGGAAGAACTGCTCTGATATTTACTGTGTAGCTGGCCAGTGACTGTGATCCTTCCCTGAGGTCCCTTCCAATCCCAGTGCTCTTGGGGAGGGATGGAAAATCAGCATAAAAAGCAGCATTGTTTGAACTGAGCTTTCTCTATGCCTCAACACACGCATGTGACATGAGTTTTGCTTGTCAGCAGCTTGAGGTGCAGTTTCCCAGAAATCCCTGCACTTATCTCCTTGAAAGTTGGCAAGCTTCAAGGCCTCAGCAGGGGCTACCAATCCTGCAGTTTTCACCCCACTGCACCTTAATATACACACACAGTAACACGTCACAAGTTTTGTTTGTCAGCAGCCTGAGGTAAAATTTCCCAGAAACCCCTGCACCTATCTCCTTGAAACTTGGCAGGCTTCATGGCCTCAGCAGGGGCTAGCATGTCTACAGTTTTCACCCTGGTGTGCCTCAACACACACATGTGACATGAGTTTTGCTTGTCAGCAGCTTGAGGTGCAGTTTCCCAGAAATCCCTGCATTTATCTCCTTGAAACTTGGCAGGCCTCATGGCCTCAGAAGGGGCTACCAGCCCTGCAATCAGGCATGAAATGACAAAGCTATAGGCAGTTTTGTGCTTCCCCATTATAGGCTATGGGCAAAATGTTGAAACAGAGAAAGTTTTGACTAAACGAAACAGAACGGTGGTTCAAAACTAAATGAAACTTGAAACGAAACACTGTCCTGGTGAAACGGAAATCGAAATGAAATGGTGCTGCTTCGCACAGCCCTATACACACACACGCACACACACACATACATATACACACATATATAATACATACATATATACATATATATGTATACACACGCACACACACACACATATATATATACACACACACACACACACACATATACACGTACATTACATATACAGGATACCTACCAGCAGTGATGAAAAAGCCTCCTCCTGTCTTGTACAGAATGTGGCTGGCATAGGGGGCTGCACAGATGATGAAGAAACCAGCCATCAGAGCAGTGACCACTCCCAAGAGCATGAGAACAGTCCAGAAACCACGATAAACTGGAGGCCCCAAAAGAGAAAGAAAGGAGGAAAGAGCACAAACATTCTTAGAACTCAAACAGAACACAGCTTTGTCTACTAAAGATTTTTTTTCTCTTCTCACTTTTCTTATTAATGAACCCAAAGTCATTCCAGGTCTGTTTCCACTGTGCACATATTTTATATACCATATGGAGAGAATTAGATTTGAACCCCAGATCTTATCTGGTGATCGTGGAATATATGATGCAAGTTACAGAGGAATGAAAACCTGCTGTTCAGTGTTTATACAGTGTATGTATGCTTAATAAATTCATTTACTTGACCAAATTTTAAATTATTTAGAAAATGGCACACCGATGCTGTAGCCAGGATGCTTTTGGATCACTGCTCAGATTGATTGGATACAACTGTATCAAGGAGGTAGTAACACATTGAAATTCTTAATGCTGGCATAATATCACCACTAACAATCTGTATGATCCTCTCTCTCTGACAAAGCGAACACTTAGAAATTGATAATTCTCCATATGTAATTACATCTTTATAAGAGATGTATTAAGAAAAGATAAAGCTACAAAAGATAGAAATAAAAATGTGAACCATATTTCTGAAGAATTAAGTGCTTTAAATAAAACCAATTCTGTCAGTAAAGTTTCAGAAGCCCCCTTTAGTCAAAGACAAGCAATGCTGAATTATTAGATGCAGCTGGTGATAAATAGGATGAGTGTTTTGTGATAGATTCTGGCCAAAAGAGTGCTTCTTACAATATTTTTATAGCTGATTAATGACACATCTATTAAAGTCATCAAGTTACAAAAGCTACAAATGTGAAATGAATTCCTCTAGCAACTCACAAAAGGAATGCATTAATATAGTCCATTAGCCAAACTGTGTGTAGTTAAGATTTTTGACCCTGGATCTGAAAACCAAAGAGAGTACTGACAATTCAGTCAGTAAAAACATTTCCACATGCCTAAGGAAAAGCATGCAAAACAAGTGGTACCTAAGAAAAAGTGATTTGCAGAAGAAAAGCATGCAAAACAAGTGGTACCTAAGAAAAATTGTTTTGCAGAAGACCCTGCCATTTCCCAGCTGACAGCACCTACTTACTTTTATTGACACTATGCAACTAAGAAGCTTTAACATTTAGATTTGTAAGCTGAAAGTTTCAAACACTTATAGCTCTTCAGCAGCAGCCGCTCTGGAGTCACTCAGGCTTTCTCTAGACTAGGATTTAAAGGTGTGCTGTTAGGAGGTATCAGCTAATGCACATGATCTAATGTATTCAAAAAGTCTACAGGTTTTAACTTGACCAGTTTACTCATATTAAAGTATCCTATGGCCTTGTCTATGTGTTGGATATGTCTGCACAACTTCCCTGGCCCTGCTGGCAACTCTCCAATCCTGCCCTCCCACCATCCCACCCCATGCATGGCAAACCCAGAAATGAGCCCTTTACCCTATGCTCACTCTCCAGAGCTCTGTCTCTGGTTTGCTCAAGAGTGACGGCATACAACACCTACAGCATTGCTCCATTGCCTCATTTCTAGATTTAGCCCATGCAGAGCAGGAGTGGGTGGGGTGTTCTTGAGAATAAAACTCCTTAAGAATAACAGGTTACAAACATTCTTTATAATGCATTGGAACATGTTATCTAACATTTAATTAACACAGTTTTAAAGCTGCCTCTAGACAAAGTTTCAGACAGAGGTATCCATCTGTCCCTGGCATTCAGGGAAAGAAATGAACCTTCCAGCATCTGTTCTAATGTAGCTATCAAACTTGTAGTTAGGTTCAAAGCAGAGTGAAGGGTTCTTCCTTCACGCACAAATGTTGATAGAAATATCACCTGACACTATGGTCACAGCATTTAAACAGATGTTTAAATACTTTAACTCCTATGGGATATAAGCACAAGCATAGAGTTAAACACATAATTAAATGAATTACTGAGAGGATAGACAGTAAATTGAGACCTAGAAGATTAAATTTCTCTCATTCTTCAGTCTTGAACCTTTGAGGAAGTGTCATACAGTATGGTGATATTCCTGGGGGTGGTTTGGTAAGGCTCATCCCCAAGTTCATGGAATACAACTTCCTCATTTAAAAGCTAACGCTGCTAAACCAGTCTATGGCCACCCAACTATTGTGAATGGGTACCCCCAAATACTTGAAAGTTAAGTTAGTATATCTTGCCAAAACAGACCTACGAAAAGCTTTAACAAATATTATGGTTAGTCAGGTTAGGTCATATCATGGGTGACTGGTGCCACCTTAGTCAGGTGGGGCACATGCCCCCCCTACAACCAGTCCTGCCAACTGGGGGGGGGGGGTTCCCCCTGCGGCTGATCCTGTGGACCAGGGGAGGATCCCCCCCGGGGCAATGCCACGATGGCTGATCACTGCAATGGCTGCAGCTGCTTCTGGGAATGGCTGTGGCCACTTCTGGGAGCAAGTGCCAGCTAATCGCTGGCAGCCACTCCCAGAAGCAGCCGCAGCCACTCCCAGAAGCAGCTGCAGCTATTGGCCAGCACTTGCAGGTTGGGCACCAGTACTCCCGCCTTCCCCTCCTGCCCATTGCCTAAGTGGCGAGCGCGGCAGGTCAGGGGTGCACCGGTGCTCTCAGGGGGAGCATGTGCACCCCCAGGTACCCCCTACATGTCGCCACCTGATCATATAGTATTGTTTTTCCTTGCTAAATGCAAAGGAACAAAAGTATACCCTGAATTAACACATTTGTAGGCAATTTTAATGTTTCCTTTCTAGTAAACAGGCACCTTTGAAATTTGCTTTCTGTGAACAATTTATCAGCAACCCAAAAGTAGTACAAATGTAACCAATGCAAATTTATGTAAACCTTCTCATAACTATGAATGAGAAGAAATTTTCCCACCTTTAGTAACAAAACTACTTTATTCATTTTGAAATAAATCTCAATTTGACAGAGCTAACATCCACAATGTAAGCGGTGGTTTATGTCTATATGCATCTGTATGCAAGGGTCCAGATTTTGTTTGAAAAATTTACCTAGAAAATAATGGAGAAGTTCTAATATGTTCCTGATATCTATACTTATAGCCAATAGCAATGTTAACTGTCAATTTTGAATGCTAGAAAATGAAGCAAAAATCGACAAGCAAGAAGAGTGCAACTTCAAAAAATTGTATTTTTTAACTAAGATATTTATTTGCCAGTGATTTATCCTAACCACTGTCAGTCAAAGGCAAAAAGCAGAAGTCCTGGTAACACTAAACTGTCATGGTAATGAAATTTCAGTTTAAAAAATGACATTTATCTAATTAGGGAAGCACAAAATGGTTTGACAACTCCTTTAAGGTCTGTACTTCTGTTTTGGAAGAAGAGCTCTCAACTGTGGATTACTGTAATATTAAAGCCACCCTTTTAGCTATCAGTCTTTACAAATGGCCAAATGAAGGGAGAAGTAGTTAGTCTCCATGGATCCAAAAGCTGCTAGTATTTAGGGAGTGCTTACCTCTATCTTTCACAAGATAAGCCAGCTGTTCAGCTGGAAACAGCACATGGATTCAAAGAGTTGAAGTTAAACTCATAAGAATGAATATCTGCTTGTGGCCAAAAGGAAAGATCATATAGAACTTAATGTTAGACAGTATCTCTACCAGTTGAAAACATTTTCCCCCAAAACATTAAGGGGTAACAGAAATCTAAGGGTCCTTCTGTACTGTCCACTGAAACTGTTCTCTCACATAGCTTTCTCATGTAACGGTAGTGCCATTCATGCATTCTTCGATCTACAAACAGTTAAGAAACTACATCCTCCACAAACTATTGCCAACTCAAGCCATGTTCTTGCACAGATTTGTTTCTTCGGACTGAATTATTCCAGTACCTTATACCATGGAAACCATCATTCTTAAAAAAGACTGTAACTGGTACTGAATGAGGCACAACATCTTATCAACATGGGCTACTCAGTACTCTGCAGTTGCAGCTACACGTACTACTAGCACAGAGCAATAAACTCCAGTGCATATTGCACCACAGTTTATTGCTCCTGGGTGCCACATTTACATGTGTGCCTCGGACTGAAGCATGTTAAGCTGGGTCGGAGCAGTTCTGATGTGCTGTGGAGGGGCTTCCTGAGGCACAAGGGTACTCCAGTGTGGAGCTAACCAGCAGGTAGCCCCTGCAATGAAGCACCCTTGTGCCACAGCCAGCCCTATCAGCATCTACACATGCACTGCTGAGCATTTAAGAATGTCACCATAGGACAGTACTTGTATTTACAAGTTCTAACCTATGGCAGAATTAATTAGTTTACTGCAGCCTAATAAAGCCACATGTGTAGACACTGAGACTTTATTGTGGAGCTAATAAGGCAGCTCCACAGTAAATGTCCCATACAGATGTGCCCTACCAGTCCATTGGGTTCCTGTGAAACACTGTCAACTTTAAGTACTCAAATGTAATTTTCCAGTCCTTAATCATCTAGATGGCCATAGTTCTAGTTTTTAATAAGGGAACTATAACAAGGTGCATGGCTCAGGGGCTGGAGCCCAGGTGCAGGGCATTAGAGGGTAATAGCTTGCCTGCCTAGAAGTGCTGGGCCAGGTGACAGAGATGATTGGCTGGTCCCGAAATAAATTTAAAGGTCCCAGAGAGATGATTTGGGGAAGAAGGAAAGCAGAGAAGAGAGGTAATGCTGAAACAGTGGTGGGGCCTTTGCCCTAGATAGAAGAGGTGGATGGGTGGTGTTAATGTTTTGGTTATCCTGTTTAGTTTGAGAAAGGACAGGGGGAAGGCTGACTTGCTAAAGGAGTAAGAACCTGCTACATGTGATGGAGAATGTGGGCATTCTAAGTTCAACTCCAGCAATGGAGACAGCAGCCCTGCTAAAATGGCTAGAGGGGCTGCAGCAGCAGCAACAGCAGCTGTTTTAGCTGCTCCAATTCCAGCACCAATAGTTCCAGAGGAAGCAGCAGCAGCAACAACAGCAGGAGTTCCTAAAGAGTATTTGGAGTCAAGATGGACCCCAACCT